GGGGCTGCGGCTGGTGCTGCGGACCCTGGCGTTGGAGCTGCTGCTGGTGTTGCGGACCCTGGTGTTGGAGTCCCTGCTGGTGCTGAGGACCTGGGCGTTGGAGCTGCGGCAGGTGCTGTGGACCCTGGTGTTGCAGCCACTGCTGGTGTTGCAGCCACTGCTTGTGTTGAGGACTCGCGCGTTGGTGCTGAGGCTAGTACGGAGAACCTGGGCGTTGGAGCTGGTGCTGGTTCTGGTACTGCCGCTGGGGGTCCTCGTGATGTCCCTGCTGTGTCTGGAGTCGCCGCGCGCCCTCATCTGTACTTCGTTCCGCTCCTTCAGCAGGTTCTTGGTCTCTCGCCTCCTCCTGGTCCTCCTCCCTTAGCGTGTTCACAGCCTGTCCCGTCCCTATTACAGTTGCAGCCGGCCTCCCCACTACCTGCTCCTTCTCCTTACACTGGTCCTACTGGCGGTCTTACTGAGCGTCGTGAGTCTACGTCTCGTCCTGCGTCGCCTGTCCGTCCTGCTAGCGCTAGTGCTCGTAGTTCGCGTCAGCGTCCTCCTCCTGTCCTTGGCACGCACCGGATGTCTCTACGTCCGTCTACTGCTCCTCTACATGCCCCTTTGCCTTCTCCTCCTGAGTCCTCTCTTCCTGCTCTCGCCGACCCTGCGTCGGACTCTCTTGGTGCTGCCAGTCCTACTGTCATGCGTCTCCTTGCTACTGCCGTCACTGACCCTTCTTTCGAGTCTTCTGCTACGTCTGCCCTAGTTGCTGAGCTCGTCGACTTTGTTGCTCACTGTAGCCTAGACTACGCTGCGAGTCTTGTCGCTGAGTCTGAGTCTGTCTGTCCTCCGTTCGTCGGGGGTGCGTGTGCCCTTGGCACGGACGTCCTTGAGGACAGGCAGGAGGAGTTCCACTGTCTGGCGGCTGCTTCACCTCATCTCCTGTCCGTACTGCTTACCCCTGAGGGAGACCCGGATGCAATTGACATCCCGACTCCGCGCTCTTGCGCGGAGGCGATAGAGGGTCCCTACTCCTCTCAGTGGCAGGCAGCTATGGATGCAGAGATGGCTTCCTGGAAGTCCACAGGCACCTACGTTGACGGTGTCCCCCCTCCTGGGGCGAACATCGTCAGTGGCATGTGGATCTTCAGGGTGAAGCGGCCGCCAGGTTCTCCGCCTGTCTTCAAGGCGTGTTACGTGGCTCGTGGCTTCAGTCAGCGGCAGGGAGTCGACTACTTTCAGACCTTCTCCCCCACCCCGAAGATGACCACTCTTCGGGTACTGCTGCACGTTGTTGCTCACCGGGACTACGAGCTGCACTCTCTCGACTTCAGCACAGCTTTCTTGCAGGGCAGCCTGCACGAGGAGATATGGCTGCGCCGCCCACCTGGCTTCACTGGGTCTTTCCCTCCTGGTACCCAGTGGAGTCTCTGGCATTTAGTCTACGGTCTCCGCCACGCGCCACGTGAGTGGCACGACACACTCAGGACTACGCTTGCGGCTCTTGGGTTTGCTCCTTCTACTGCCGACCCGTCGCTGTTTCTGCGCGCCGACACCTCTCTGCCGCCGTTCTACATCCTCGTGTACGTTGACGACTTGGTCTTTGCCACAGCTGACACTGCTGGACTCGCCTACGTGAAGTCCGAGCTGCAGAAGAGACACACGTGCACTGACCTGGGTGAACTGCGCAGCTACCTTGGCTTGCAGATCACCCGGGATAGAGCACGCCGCACCATTACCCTGACTCAGTCACACATGGTGCAGCAGGTCCTTCAGCGCTTCGGCTTCACGTACTCCTCGCCTCAGGCCACTCCTCTGTCTACTCGCCATTCGCTCTCAGCTCTGCCTTCGGATGAGTCCGTAGAGTCGAGTGGCCCGTACCCAGAGCTTGTTGGCTGTCTCATGTACCTGATGACCTGCACACGACCTGACCTTGCATACCCTCTTAGCATTCTTGCACGCTATGTTGCTCCTGGGAAACACAGACCACATGGCTGCAGCGAAGAGGGTGTTGCGCTACTTGTGCAGTACGTCGCGCATGGGGCTAGTGCTTGGAGGGCGGAGTCCAGTGGTCCTCACTGGACACGCAGACGCTTCTTGGGCTGACGACCAGGCTACGCAACGGTCGTCACAGGGTTACACCTTCAGCCTTGGTTCCGGCTCTGTTTCGTGGCGGGCTACTCGCTCGTCTTCTGTTCTCGGCTCCAGTTGTGAGGCTGAGATCTACGCGGGGGCCATGGCTGCTCAGGAGCTTCGCTGGCTCACCTACCAGCTGACCGACCTTGGAGAGCCGCCTGGTTCTCCTCCAGTGCTGTACGTCGACAACAAGGCCATGCTGGCCTTGTGTCGAGAGCAGAGACTGGAGCACAGAACAAAGCATATTGCTCTCCGCTACTTCCTTGCTCGTGAGCTACAGCAGCGTGGTCAGTTGCGACTTGCGTACGTGGCCTCTGAGGCCAACACTGCTGATGTCTTCACCAAGGCACTTCCGCCTTGTGATCATCACCGCTGCTGTACCCAGCTGGTTCTTGTGTCTGTCTTGCCTCACTTGCCCTCCTCTTGACCCTCTTTGTACTATTACATATATATATTACTGCTCTTGCTTGTTTAGTCTTATATATATATATGTACTCGTGCATGTGAACTGGCCTTGTGGCCTTGAACCTGTGCTCGGATTGTGTGGTGACGTTGTGATCCACCCTGAGCTTGCTTTGCTTTACTTGACTGGTCTTGTGACCACTAGTTCTCCCCCACTTCGCCTATGGGGGTGTGTCAAACATTATATATGTTGTTGTAGTTGTTTAGGCTACAGTAGGTTAGTCTATAGGGGGTACACATTTCTAGGTTTTCATACTTGTACTCATTTTCACTGTTAGTTCATCCATTCTTGTTCAACACTTCTCAGCACCAAGGAGGTCGACGGCAACAGCAGAGGCGACAGAGGGAAGAAGGGGGGAAGGAGAACACCCCTCAAAGAACGGGGTATGGGGGTCGCCACGAGAGGCACCTACAGCGACTATGCTAGTCTCAGCTGCAAGCAGTTCCTTCTCGAGGAGGGCAATGGTGAGCTCAGTGGGGCAGCGAGCTAGGAAGTGGTCCCGGACAGCACGCAGTGTGTTAGGGAGGCGGGTGACGAGGTGGTAGAGAGTGAGCTTGAGTGGGGGGGGGGGTGTGGCAAGGAACTCAGCGGGCATGGCGGCACGGAAGCGGGCCTCACTAGTACGGAGGTGCGTGATGAGGTCAGCGACTGTGTGGAACGAGGCCAAGTCGGGAAACAGGTAGGGGAGGGAGAGACGGCCTAGCGCGGCAGAGGCAGGTGAGGAGTAGCGAGCAACGACAGCTGTGTACAGTGCCTGTGCAGTCTTGTGCTGGCCAAAGTGCTTGTGTTCGTCTATCGGCAGGGAGTTGCGAATAGCGAAGCGAGCGTGGGCATCACGAGTCTGCCACTGTGAGCGAGCAGTGCTGTCAGCAGTAGCAGCAGGGGCAGTGACATGGCCTAGGGCGTGGTCGTACAGTGAGATGTGGTCCTTGGCTGTGAGCTGTAGATAGAGGTGCAAGTCATCTAGCCAGGTGTCAAACTTCACTGGGCGGCCCTCAGCATCGAAAACTAGAACCTGTGGGCTAGCCATAGGAGCAGTAGAAGTAGCAGCAGTAGGAGGAGGAGGAAGCAGGTAGGGCGGCTCGGTTCAGGTAGGGCGACGCGGCTCGGGTGGGGCGGCGCGGTTCAGGTCGGGTCGCGCGGCTCGGCTTGGGTCGTGCGGCTCGGCTCGGGTCGCATGGCTCGGTTCGGTCCCGGGCTGTGGCGGTCACGGGCCGCTCGGGGCCTCTAGGGTCTGTGGGCGCGGGGCCGACGGGGCCGTGCGGGGCCTCTAGGGAGGTGAGCGCGGGGCCTTAACGGGGCCTCTAGGGGCCGACGGGGCCGCTCGGGGCCGCTAGGGAGGTGAGCGCGGGGCCGTAAAGGGGCCTCTAGGGGCCGACGGGGCCGTTCGGGGCCTCTAGGGAGGTGAGCGCGGGGCCGACGGGGCCTCTAGGGAGGTAAGCGCGGGGCGGACGGGGCCGTTCGGGGCCTCTATGGAGGTGAGCGCGGGGCCGACGGGGCCTCTAGGGAGATAAGCGAGGGGCCGACGGGGCGATCGCGGGGCCGTTCGGGGCCGCTAGGGGCTAGCGCGTGGGCTGTTAGGGGCCTCTAGGGGCGGGCCGACGGGGCCTTAGAGGGCCGTGAAAACCGAGGCGCCCTAGGGCGCAGGTAGGTAGGTAGGTAGGTAGGTAGGTAGTGGTGGGCCCTAAAAAATCGGTCCTAGGAAGGACCTGCTCTATACCATGTTGGAATCAATGAACAGGAATGATTGAACTATCAGTGAAATCAGTACAAGTACCTAACCCTAGAATTGTGTACCTCCTATAGGCTAACCCACTGTAGCCTAAACAAGCACAACATATATAATGTTTGACACACTGTAGCACGACAGTCAGCACCGTTACCACTCGCGATCCTCGCATCGACAATCAGCCCGCCACTTTCGCACTTTCGCACCCCGTCCTCACGGCTCGGCTGGTAACCCGCGCTCCGGGCCTCCGCTTCGACACTTTCCCAACCTCAGTCCCAGGCCCGTCGCGCGACAACCACAGTCCATTACCGTTACCACTGTAGTTTCGCTATATATTCTTCGCTTATGCCTTCGCTAAATGTATTCTTGCTTCGATAGTGCAATTCTCGATCGTTCACTCAATTGCACTCGTAACACTTCCCATGAAGAGAAGTGCATTAAGAGCCGCTAGAACTATCTCATTATATATATCAAGATCCAAATAAGGAGTTTCCAAACTATCTTCAACAATAAATAGCCAATGGAAACCTAATTTTCAACAACATAATTCCTATTCTTTCATATGCTAAATCCATGCTCTTGTAACAATGCTAGACTGGTAATTGGCCACTGTATTGCCTTGAAAAGCTCTCCCCCAACCCCACCAACTCTTCGTCCGTATCCCTCTCACTTCTTTCCAGTCATCATCGATCACTCCTCTTCCTCCTCCTCCTTGGTTTCCTTCTTGCTCGTTTTGCTGCTCTTCTCCTTGCTGATCTTCTTCCCCACCTTGGTACTTCTTTCCTTCACGCTCCCCTTGCTGGTCACCTTGCTAGTCCCCTTGCTGCTCCCGTCCTCCTTGCCCTTCCCTCCAACCTTCACCTTCCTGTTTCCAACAACCTTCTCGCTTGCCGTCTCCTCCTTCTCTTCCTCTTCTTCATTGTCCTCTCCCTTCTTCTCCTTTTCAATCTCCTCAGCAGCCACCTTGCTGCCAGGCTCCATATCAGAATCACCAGCAGATTCTGCCTCCTTGATGTCCTTAGTTTCAGCAATCGAATCAGCAGTAGCAGCAGCAGCAGAATCATTGGCGTCAGTAGCATCTGTAGCATCAGTGGCGCCAGAAGCATCAACACCATCCACCGCACCACCAGCAATTTCCGCAGCCGCAGCAGCACCATCAACAGCACCAACACCATCACCAGTACTATCACCATCAACAGCAGCACCTTCACCATCACCAGCACCATCACCATCAGCAGCAGCACCATCATCGCCAGTACCACCTCCCTCAGTCACCACCTCCACTTCCAGCTTGTCCTCTAGCGGGGGAGCCAGGAACGGGCGGCAATCGGTGGCACTATCTGGGCGCACAAGGCTCTCGTGAATGAAGCTCATCTCACAGCACACGGCGCAGCGGTGGTTGTATTCGATGCTGAACATGCGATAGCCGAGATTCTCGAGCGTGTAGACCATTGTGAGAGTCTTGACGCTCTTGTCCATGCTGCAAACGGGAAGGGAACAGACAATAACGAGGATGGAGAAGCAGAGAACGTGGAAGGGGAGGTGGTTATGGCTACTGCAAAATAGGTTGGATTACCCTTGCAAACACAGATGCGACGAGAGAATACGAGAGAAAGCATGGAAGCATGCAAACTGAAAGAGAACAGAGGCAGAAAGGGAGCACGCTGCGAAAACGGGTGAATTATCAATTTAACTAGAAATACCCCTTACTTGTGGAATTCGATGAGGATCTGCCCGAAAGGAAGCTTCCCCCCATGCACAGCCAGCCTCTTCCCAGTGTTGTTATACAGCTTGCCAAGGTCCTTGATCCACTCAACCTCACACCCCTCGCAGTCAATCTTGAACACGTCCACGTAGCTGTGCCCGAACTGCCCCATCATCTCGGGCAGCGTCGCAAACTTTTTCTCGGGGAATCTTGTGCGGTAGACGGGGAGGGAGGCGGTTCCGGAGAGGCCGATTTCGATGAAGTGGAGGAAGGGGAGGGCGGCCATGATGTTGCGCTTTTCAGGGGGGAGGAAGGGGTCGAATGTGTAGGGCATGGTGCGCAGCATTTGGTGCATCTCCTTCTCGAACGAGAACATTCCAAAGCTGCCAATGCTGCAGGGGAGAGACGTAAGGGGGAGGGAGGAATGCGAAGAAGTTTTATGACTGTTCAACGAAAATGTACGATGGGAATGGAATAACAAGTAGGGGATGACGAGTGAGAATAAGAAACAAGAGAAAAACAATTGAATTCGATGCAATCGGATGTATTCAAATACCATGCAGACTCTTTACCCGTCCATTATATATCAATCTCACCGCCCTCACCTCCACTGCCCTCTCACCGGCCTCAACCGTACTGCCCTCTCACTGCATTCAACCTTACTGCATCTCACCCCCCTCACCTGTACACGACCGGATCTTTCTTCTGGATGACAGACGGCATCATGCACGCCCACTGTGGATGGAAGGAGGCATGAAAGGTTATGTATGGGGAGGGAGGTATGGAGAGGGAGGCATGGGAAGGGAGGCATGGGGAGGGAGGCATGGGAAGGGAGGCATGGGGAGGGAGGCATGGGAAGGGAGGCATGGGGAGGGAGGCATGGGAAGGGGGGCATGGGGAGGGAGGCATGGGAAGGGAGGCATGGGGAGGGAGGCATGGGAATGGAGCCATGGGAAGGCATGAGAACAGCCGCACAGAGGGACACGCAAAAGTTATCTGCAAGTCCATTTTTCGTTCTCCTTTTCCTACTTGTGAAAGAAGAGGGGAGGGGAAAGGGGGGTTGGGGGGGACGTGAGGGAAGGCGCGAGGCTCGAAATGAGAGTACTCTCTCTTCCACTTGACCTTTCCATCATCTAATAAATTCCCTTCTCACCTTCCCGTCGTCGCTCCATTTCCCGATGCGCTCGTTGAGGGGACACGTGTACGTGGGCACGAGGATCAACTCCTTCATTTGCACGGGGTTGAGAACCGTACTGCACCCCTCTCTCTTCCTCTTAACCTTTCCATCCTCTCGCAATTTCCCTGCTCACCTTCCCGCCATCGCCCCATTTCCCGATGCGCTCGTTGAGGGGACACGTGTACGTGGGCACGAGGATCAACTCGTTCATTTGCACGGGGTTGAGAACCGTACTGCACCCCTCTCTCTTCCTCTTAACCTTTCCATCCTCTCGCAATTTCCCTGCTCACCTTCCCGCCATCGCCCCATTTCCCGATGCGCTCGTTGAGGGGACACGTGTACGTGGGCACGAGGATCAGCTCCTTCATTCGCACGGGGTTGCCCAGCATCGGCTGTAGGTCGCCGTTGAACTCCTTGCGCCGGCGCTCAACGTTCTCCTGCAACGTGGAAATGTACCCGAATAAGGAATAATAAATTCCGATAAAAGAGAGGAAATGTAAATGCGTAGATGGAGAATGTTGACAAACCGGGGGTTGCCCAGCATCGGCAATAGCGCGCCTTTGAACTCCTTGCGCCTGCGCTCAATGTTCTCCTGCAATCCGGAAAGCGGAAAAGAACGAGAAGGAGATAATCACATGAGGACGTTAGGACGGAGAATGTGCCTTCAAGACGAAGCTCTCCTCGCTGTGCTCAACGTTCTCTTGCATTGTGAGGAATTTCTTTGAAATCCTCCTAAATCTCCTGCATGAAAGGACGAGAGTGAGGTCATTGAATGTGCGTGTTTTATTCGACATCCATGTTAATCCAATGTGGACGCTTAGACCGACAATGCGCTTTGAAACTCCTCGCACCTGCGCTGAGAAACGACTCGATAAAGCCAAAAACTACGTACGGATGCAAATGTGTATGCTTTTCTGTCAAATTCTCACCCAATGATTTGCCTCTGCGCGGCAGATCGTCGCGTCGATCTTGTTCGTGCTGGGAAACAGAAACGCGACCCAGCCGAGATTCGGCGGAAGGTAAGACGGACCGAATGAGCTTAATCCAGGCGACGGCTGCGATGGTGACACGTGGAAGAAGGTAATCAAGGCGACGAGCACGCCTAGAGCGATGACGTAGGGAGTCATGCATTTGATGCATGATTTGGAATTAGCGGGGGAGTGACTCTTCTTGAAATCATCGGAACCCATCTTGGATCAACGTATATGCTTGTTTGCCTTTCTTTCTGTGTGAGAATGCGGATCGCAGAAAGAGCTCCGAAAATCGGGAAGTTAGGAATCCTTGGTGAAAAGCAATCCCGATATTATAACTAGCAACCAGTCGTCGACACAACCGAGCTCAAAGGCTCTGGAAGCGAAATCAGATCCTTAAAAAAACGCGTTTTACTGAGTCAGTATATGTCCCGGACTGGTGCATAGGGAGTAGTCGAGGTTTTGCACTTCTTTATGCTAGCTTTTGCCTTTCTTTCCATCTCCATTCCCAGAAATCCAGATAGGGGGAAGCGACCGTGGAGCATTAGTTGGTTCCAACCTTTCTTGAAACCACGAAACCGAGCTTTGTTGCTGCGACACCGTACTGATGTCCAGCAAATGATATCTGTTGCCATCTGCTGACACTGTTTTCCACTTTTGGTGAGTTGATTAGCCAGCCATAGCCCAGGCGGGAGAGCATATGATTGGTTCGGAAAGGTTTTGGATGTGGTTCATGGCGACTGACAAGTGACTGGACTGGACAGGGCAGCAGTTCGAAGGTCGGGGCTGGGAAGGATGCGCAGTCAAAGCAAACATCCTTGTCAGGTGGTGCCCGAACCAGGCTGACAGGATTTTGGCGCAGCGAGCTCGGCGGGAATCCAGCCCGACCAATCAACTGGCACATCGTCATTCGCAACAAAAGATTTTTCCGCGTTATCGGTTGGTAGTCCCAGATTCATCAGTACATCTTGACGCTAGAAAACACAATCTAGACCTTCATTCATGAGGAAATTCTTACTGGTAGGTTTCATCTACCTGTATTGCCTTCAAACTTGATAATTACAAATGCTGCTGGTCGTCAACATAAGACAAAATGCAGAAGCACTAGCGCTCATCAATACATAATCGTGATTGTACCTCTAATTATATCTATTGGCAAATCTTGCACCAAATTCAATTCCTCCGCAGAAAACTCCTATCCACACTGTCTCCTTTCAAAATCCCCATTGCCTTTGAGAGCTTCCAAATCACCCCCTTCCTTTAAGCACTTCCGCCATCTACTTGCTACCTGCACCTGCACCCGCAACCTTCCCCTTCTCCTCACCTGCATTCTTAATTTCAGGTGCTACAAACGGCCGGCAGTCAGTCTCGCTCGAGGGCTTCACAAGGCTCTCGTGAATGAGACTCATTTCGACACACATGGGGCAGTAGGGGTTGTACTCGATGCTGAACATGCGATAGCCCAGCTTCTCGAGAGTGTAGAAGGTCTCGAGAGATATAGGGGCACTGTTCATGCTGGTAACGGGAAGGAGAAAGGAGAGACGAGGAGGGGAGGGGGGGGGGGGGGGTCTTGTTATATAGGAAAAGGGGAAGGAGGAGGGGGCACTCGATCCTGAACATGCGGCAATTATGTCTCTCAAGCATATAGCCGGATTACCGAGTACAAAAAAACTTATTTAAGCTAATTTAAAGGAAGGACTGATCAAGCTGAGCAGAGGATCTCCCTCGTGCATCTTGATACGGATCAGACTGTGTGATACCTCGATGTGATAACCACATACTCTGTACTCACCTGGTCACAAAAAAATACCCTATATCGAGCAACTCACTTGTGCAACTCGATGAGGATTTGTCCGAACGGCAGATTCCCTCCGTGCAGCGCGAGCTTATTCCCCGTGTTCATATACGCGGCTCCCAAGTCCTTAATCATTTCCACCTCGCACCCCTCGCAGTCAATCTTGAACACGTCCACATAAGTGTGCCCCATCTCCTTCATCATTTCGGGCAGCGTCAAAAACTTTTTGTCTGGGGAGTTTTTCTTGTAGCCGGCGAGAGATGCCGCCCCAGACATGCCGATTTCGTTGAAGTGAAGGCATGTGAGGTTTTTCATAATTTCCAAGTTGGTCGGATTAAGAAAGGGGTCGAAGGTGTAGGGCTTCACGCCTAGTATGTTGTGCATGGATTCCTCAAACGAGTACATGCCAAAGCTCCCAATGCTGTAGGAAGAAGGGGGGGAGAGAAGAGTGAGAGGATCTGGCGAGGGTCTGGCATGTACATGAAGATGCTCAAACGAATACATGGCAAGACGCTCTCAGATGGCGGAAAAGGGGGAGAGAGAGAAGAAGAGCAAGGGGGGTGTTAAAAGGAGGAACAAGAGGGGGTCGTGGGATCAGAAGACTGTATCCTGTGCGCTTCTTTATCAAACAGATGCATGTTAATGCTTCTAAAGATTTCAACGTGCCATCAAAGATTCAACGACCAAACAACAGAAGCTTCCCTCAACCCATCACATTCCCCTCACCCCATCACACTCCCCTCACCCCATCACACTCCCCTCACCCCATCACACTCCCCTCACCCCATCACACTCCCCTCACCCCATCACACTCCCCTCACCCCATCACACTCCCCTCACCCCATCACACTCCCCTCACCCCATCACACTCCCCTCACCCCATCACACTCCCCTCACCCCATCACACTCCCCTCACCCCATCACACTCCCCTCACCCCAACACACTCCCCTCACCTGTACACGACGGGGTTAGTCTTTTGGATGGCGTTGGGCAGAAGGCACGTCCACTGCGCACAGAAGAGGGCATGGGGGGTGGTGGGGAGAGGTCGTGAGGGGTGTAGAGGGGTGATGACCTGTTCACGAGGTGTCATTAGTCTATGGATGGCGTTGGGCACAAGGCACGTCACCTTCGCACAGGAAAGAGCGAAAGGATAGGGCACAGGGGATGGGGAGGAAGGCGGAGCGAAAACAAGAGGTCACGAGGGGTCAACAGGTGATAGGTTCATGAGGGTTCAACACGTGATGGGGTCGTGATGGGGTCATGAGGGATCACCACGTGATGGGGTCATGAGGGATCACCACATGATGGGGTCGTGAGGGATCACCACGTGATGGGGTCGTGAGGGATCACCACGTGATGGGGTCATGAGGGATCACCACGTGATGGGGTCATGAGGGATCACCACGTGATGGGGTCATGAGGGATCACCACGTGATGGGGTCAGGAGGGGTCATACCTTGCCGTTGCGTTCAATGGTAGTGCACGGGATGAGCACCAGCACCTTCACTCAGATTCCCCCCTCCTCACCCCTTCCTTTCCTCCCTCCCTGTGTATATAACCTTTCCTCCATCCCCCCCATTTGCCGATGCGCTCGTTGATAGCGCACGGGTACGTGGCGATGAGCACAAGCCCACTCCCTTCAAATCCTCCCCTCCTTACCCCTTCCTCCGCTCCCTCCCTGTTTATCTCACCTTTCCGCCGTCCCCCCATTTGCCGATGCGTTCGTTGATGGCGCACGGGTATGTGGGGATGAGCACCAGCTCCTTCATGCGCACGGGGTTCCACATCTTGGGCTGTAGCACGCCGTTCAACGCCTCCTTCCGGCGAGCAATGTTCTTCTGCAGGAAATAAATGAAAGGAATGTTACAGGGTAATCACTCATGCGCACGGGATTCCACATCTTGGGCTGTAGCACGCCGTTCAACGTCTCCTTCTGCACGAATTAAACGAAAAAGAAAGTTACAGGGTAACCAGTCATTTGCACGGGATTCTACGTCCTCGGCTGTAAAGCTCCCTTCAACACCTCTTTCCAGCGAACGATAATCTTTTTGCACGGGAAAGACAAACGAACGGAATGCTCACAGCTAGGTTATTGCCAATGCTGGTTTCACCGACGGTTGTTACCACGCTACTGTAAAACTCGTAGACAATAACGTCTTCGTTTCACCAAGTTGGCAAACAACAATGCACCTTCTTGAGTCTACTCAAAAGTCAGCTCCTTACAGTGTCGCATGTTGTTTCTTCGACACGGAGAACATTCCTCATATCACCAAGATGGTATAAGCAAGAATGACAGCGAGAATGTCACCATACGAACGAAGATCAAACACCAGATCACGGAAAATCGGGATAAACGTAAAGAAAAGAAGAAACAAATCGAACAAACAAACCTTTACGCACCCAATAAACTGCATCTGCTCGGCATAACGCAGCGTCGAAGCCGCTCATACTGGAAAACATCCTCCCAGTCCATTCGAGAGCAGGAGCCTGGAAAGACCCTCCGGCATTGCTCCAGGACAGGGACAATGACCCGGGATTCGCGAACGTCAGGTAAATGGGAATGATAATTGCCGTGATAACCGCAATAATGACCGCGTGGGGTAAGATGGATTTAAGTACGGATGGCGATGTTAGGGATTTGAGCGATGGAACACGCTGGAGGGAGGATTTCGGCGTCTTGGGCTTTTCTTCGAGGGTCGTCATTTCGTCCAGCAGGCTTTCAGTAGAACGATCTTTTTATCACTACTACTGATACCCTTTCTTGTCGTCTAATTTGAAACTTGCGTATGACGCTGCGAGCGTCACGCTTCTGTCTTGCGGGGTGGAGCTCGGAAACAAGGGTCAGTCTTGAATCATTTCAACTGAAGTGCAGCGCTAGACTAGCTGTCTCACTGCACCGCAAACTGGAAAGTGAGGAGTAGATTTGGTAAGAACGCAACCATAGCTCTTTTTCATCACACAGATTCACAATCAGTCGCCGCCCTGTTCAGGAGAACACCAGTAAACCTGCCAGATTCCAGCCAGCACAGCGACTCGTTTCAAAACGGTTTGGTGAGATATTATGCTATTCAGCACGGTGGTTTTATGTTTCCGAGAGGTTGGATAGGGTAGACGACTGTGATTAATCGTTGTGAGGAGGTATCCAGTGCATGGGTCAGGGTTTGCTTCCGTGCGTAAGGGGTCCATAATGGTTGTCTGAGATCGCCTTCCTGGGGTGTCCAGACATGAAGTGGGGACAGCGAAAAGTGCATTCCGCGCGTGCAAGAGATTGGGTAGGATGATGAGGTGGAGGGGGAACGAATCTGGACGTCGCAATTGTTCAGAGGTCCCCAACGTGCGAACACCCCTCATGATCGGACGGTTGGGCTTGACCAACTAGATTTGAGATGCGATCACAGATCGTAGATGGAGTCGTGCAGGAAATTTTGATCGCACACTGGAGAGTAGGTGAGAACGTGAAAGCAGCGTGGAAGCAACGTGAAATCTGCCACGCTGGACCCAGATAGTTGTACTTTTGAGGGCTGTCTATCCCAAGTTCGCAGGAAGGCGATCTGAACAACGCTGAAACATGCGGGAAATAGTTCTAACCGCACTAGACACCAATTGGTTAGTGGCTGCCTTGGCTGGGTGTCAGGTTGGGGGAACCCTGGTTTGGGGTGCCTGGTAGGGAAGGGCCTGGCTGGTCGCGAATTGGTGGGGAGGATGATGTCAGAGCCTCGGTCTTGAGACGGCGTGGTGCGACGCGGTTCTTGTGAGAAAATACACCGTAACAGATTGACAGGAACCCTTTTTTAACCGCGTGGTAAATGACCGCACCGATCATTGCAGACACCTTGAACATCCTCCGATTCGAATGCCCTTAGCTTTTTCGCGCCAGCGGTTTCGTGACAGTTCCGCTATTAGCTGTTTGACAATGTACCTCATGTGAATCCTCGCTCCTGGAGAGCTTTCAAAGTAAACACGCCCCAAACGTACGTTTTTAACAGCATATAGAAAGCTCCATATTTAGTAATTGAGTCTGGTTCTTCTGATCCATTTCAGCATCCACATTCTAGCAACAAGATACGGTAGGTACATCTGGAATACCCCATGGAATGTAGCTATAACAAAAAAGGCTCATGGAACTACCAATTCGACATGACATCCACGATGACATGTGGGTGCGACATCTCTAACTTCATGAGCGCTCGTTTCTTAGCAGTCACAGGTTTGCAAGTATATGATACACAGACCCTCATATGCGGTACCTGAATCCTTTAGTCATCATGTAAACCCAGCTTTTCCTGCATCACAGCAACTGCATCGTTCTTGTTTACAAACGTTTCCGAAGCCAGAAACGGGCGGCAGTTCTTGTCGCTACCTGGACGCACGAGGCTCTCGTGAATGAAGCTCATCTCGCAGCAATGCCAGCACTGCGGGTTGTACTCAATGCTAAACATGCGATATCCAAGCTTCTCCAACGTGTAAACAAGCGGCAGGGTCACCTGGGGCAGATTCATTCTGGCGGAAAAGTGGTTAGACGAAGGGGAAAGAGTGTTGGGAGAATGAATCAATTCCAGATACAGATAAGGGCAGCAGTCATTGTCACTACCTGGCTGCATTGTGCACACACCACTGAGAGTGCACATCCTATTGCAGAATGCCCTTAGAAGTGACGAAAGTAGACCAAGTTGTGGGAATGCCTGAACCACACAACCATACATCAAGACTTACTGGTGGAACTCAACCAAGATCCGCGAAGCTGCGAAGCCGCATTGCTAATGCAAGCTCCCTCTCTTGAACATTCCAGCCAACCAACCAACCAACCCCACACCCAGTATTGTCGTCCCTGCGCCTTTCCCTCGAGTCAATGCACTCACTTGTGAAACTCGACCAAGATCTGCCCAAAAGGCAGCGTCCCCCCGTGCAAACTCAGCTGCGAAGCCGCATTCCCATTCGCCTCCCCAATCTCAGGAATCAGAGCCTCCTCGCACCCCTCGCAGTCAATCTTGAAAACGTCAACATATGTATGATTCAACAGCTGCATGATCCCTCCCAGAGTCATGAACTGCATGGTAGGGAACTTGGCGGTGTAGTTTTGGAGCTCGGAGGCAGCCGAGAGGCCGATGGGGTTGAAGTGGAGGCAAGAGACGTTTTGCATGCGGGCAGCGGTGGCGGGAACGAGGAACGGGTCGAACGTGTGTGGCTGCACGTGCAGAATCTTGTAGATTGAGTCTTCAAACGAGTACTGCCCGAAGCTGCCAATGCTGTTAGTGGGAGTGTTTGGCACAGAATATGGGAGGAAATTATTGGAGTGAGGAACCCATCAAGGCGAAGAGCTGGGCAACCCATCTGTTTTCATAATCTTGAAACTCGCTCACAACGATGGTTTTGAAAACCTAAAAAAACCGCTAACAATATTTTACAGAATTTCAAAAAGCATCGCTCACGAGGTGAAAAGCTGGGTACCCATTTGTTCGCCTTCGACTTGACCCATGACTCGTCACTCGCCACTTCCCACATCCGCACCTCCCCACCTCCTCATCCCCCTCACCTCCTCACTACTCTCATCCCTTTCCCACCCTCACCTGTACACAATGGGATTCTTCTGAATAGCGCCTGGCAGCAGGCAAGTCCACTGTGGTTGGTGGTGGGGGGAAGGGGGGGGGAGAGTGGGTAGAGGGAGTTTAGAGTGGGTAGAGCTAGATTGGAGTGGGTAGAGGGAGATTGGGGAGGGTGGTGGCATGTTGGGTGCGGGATGCAACAGGGGGCTGAAAGGCGTCGCCAATGCAAGCTAGAATTCAAACCGAAGGCTTCATAGGGCAGAGGTACATTTGAGACGCTCCTTTGGCTCACCTTCCCACCGTCCCCCCACTCCCCAATGCGCTCGTTCGCCGGGCACGGGTACGTGGGGATGAGCACGAGAGTTTTCATGACGACATCTGTCATCGATGCTGGTGGCGGGTACAGCGTTCCCTTGCACGCCTTCCTTCTCAGCACAAGGTTCTCCTGCGGGAAGGGCATTGGGGGGAAGGATGGGAGAGGGAATGTGGGTTACAGCGTTATGATGCACGCCTTCCGTCTCAGCACAAGGTTCTCCTGCGCGTGGGGTGCGGGGGAGTGGGAGGTGGAAGGCAGAGGGGAATTCTATCATTCAACTCAATAAAACGTTAAGTTGCGAGAAAGCTGGGAAACAGATTACGCCATTTCGCCAGGAAATAAAGGGGAAAAGAAAACTCACCCAGTAATTCTCCTCTGCACGGCAAATGGCCGCGTCAATGCCGCTCATGCTTGGAAACAGAAATGCAGCCCATCCGAGGCTAGGAGGCTGGTACGGAAGCGACGCTGCCGAGCCTCCGCCGCTGCTCCAGCCGCTGGAGAGCAGACTGGGGTTCGACTGGAATGCCAGATTGATGGGGATGACTATAGCGAGGATGACGGCGAAGGGAATGACGTACGGACGGATGGTGCTTCCGACCTGTTCGCTTATGGTGCGTAGTGATTGTAACGCGGGCTCGGCCATGGAACGAAGGTTGTCCAGGGCTGGCTCGGTTCTGGCGTGTAGGTGTGACAGGACTTCTTCAGCCATTTCTATCAACTGTTAAGCTCTGGAACGGATTCTGAGTATAATCCACGTGACTTGATCGCTCGTCGGAGAGCTGATGGCGCTCAAGACAAGAACGAAGGCGGCGAGCTATTTAATAACCACCGTCTGTTTGGTGTACTTAAGTAATGCAGTTGAGAAATGCAGGAGGCTAATCAAATCAAATCTCCAGTTCAGAAATGCAGGAGTCGAGGCTACAGAAACAGTTCATGATTTCAGCATTTGAGAGTCCTACGGAAAAGCCTTCCTGCAGCCATGAAACGTAATTACACTGCGAACTGAAATGTAAGCAGCCATGGAGTCATGGTTCACAGTTGGGTGAATTCGATGTTGCCTTTGCCTTGCCATGCAGTGAGCATTTTGTGTCAGCAGTTGTGCCGAAGGAAAATGTTTTGGCGGGATCTTCTTGGTCAGCACCCACTGCCTTTTCTTGTCCCTCCCCATATCCAGGCCCCAAAGGCCAAATGGTCAAAAGACTGAAAGGCACCAAAAGCAAGGCTGTTATTGGTCAGGGCCAGAAGCTCACTGATTTCCGGTCCGACCGTCGGACTTTCCGCGAACTCAATATAAGGCCTCGTCTTTCGATATAAGGGTGGGAGGGATGAACTTACGAGGAGGTGGTGGAACGAAAGCATATGTTTTGCCTGATTTCATTGTGTAATATACCATACCTCACGCTGAATGAAGAAGCTTGTTATGATGCAGCAAGCCTCGACTGTTAGAATAAGCAGACAGATATGGTAAGAACAGAAGAGGGGTTTTCACTAGCAGGCATGTGGGATACATATAGGAACCCTAAAATGGTTGTACTCTCTGTTGGGTACCCCACTACAGCATACACAGCAAATGAGGGTACATTCCGCTGTAGACATGTCCCTTAAGAAAGTGTCGCAATCGATTTTCCGCCGAGTCGTGTCCAAATGTCTCAACACCTCATGTCACAAAGAATGAATGTATTGCGACATGGATATTGTGCGTGACAATCACATGTGCTACGTCATTATTGGCTCCAACATTCACGATGCACACTTCGAAAAGTTTGGGTGTGGCCATATGTCAAAAGTTAGAAGAAGAAAGAGGGTTGAACTAGCAGAAATGGGGACACAAATAGCAAACCCTAGAAGGGTTGTACTCGCTATAGAGCACCCCACTACAGGCTAGAACATAAGAATAACATTCTGACACACCCCCATAGCCAAAGTGGGGTGTAATCAGCAGAGCAAGCAAAGCAGTACAAGCTCAGGGTGGATCACAATGTCACCACACATTCTGAGCACAAGTTCAAGAAGCAAGTTCAAGTGCACAATTATCAGCAAAGCTAGTGGTGGTCACAACGGGCAAGTGAGGAGGAGGAGTGAGAGCGAGAGGAGTTGGGAGGCGACGGCTGAAGCTGCAGACACACGGGCAACAGGAGGCACACTGGCACAGCGGCTACCGGGCGAAGCCCCCGGACTACTGGAGTAACTGGCCCCGCGGCTAAAGTAGCGGCAGACGAGCAACGGACCCACGGGCGGCTGGCACAGCTGGCTACGACTGGGCTACCGGGCGAAGCCCCCGGAATACAGGTGCTGCTGACGACACGACGGCAACCTCCATGCAGCTTCCCTAACTATCCAACTCCCCCAACACACACCCGCTGATACACCCCTAGCTCCATAATGGGCAGACAAAACTGCCACTTTGCACCCAATGTAGCACAGGCCTGCAGAGTTGACAGGCGCGGGATTGTCGCGATCTTTTCGCGCTCTAAACAACCAATCCCTACTCGTTTTGTATAATCGTGTGAAAATTTCGAGCTGTAACTAGATGTCCAGCTACAGGCAGATGGGTTTGACATTTGGAGCCGCGTGCGATGGCTGGTCCAAGACACGGTTGCTTGCGATTCGCGTGCGACTGTTCCGTGGTTCACGGTATCCAATAATAAATACACGCCAGAACATTCTCACGCGGTCTTGAATCCTCACACCTGGCAGCATATGCTGTATTCACGCGTCACAATCGATTGCGACAATTTCTTAAGGGACATGTCCACAGCGGAATGTACCCTGACATTTTGACACACCCCCATAGGCAAAGTGGGGTATAGCCAACAGAACAAGAAGTCACAGAACCAGTTCATAGGCAAATACTAGTGGCAGAAGCAGAGGGCAAGTAAGGAGGAGGAGGAAACTGGAGAGGAGAGGAGGTGGGCGGCCGCTGAAGCTACTGGGAATGGTCGCAAACGGCGTAACTAGCTCTGCTCACCGGTAAGAGCAACTGACCCTCAAGGGACCAGAGCAACTGGTAACCGGAGTAACTAGCTCGCTCGCCGGTAAGAGCAACTGACCCACGGGCCTCTGACGCAACGGTCTCACGTGCGACTAGAGTTGCGGACTGTCAATAACTAGGCATGAATTGACTATTGGGAAGATTGGGTACAAGTACAAACCCTAGCAATGTGTTGTACCCCACTACAGCCTACACCCTGACATCACATATACAGTTTGACACACCCCCATAGGCTAAGTGGGGGAGAACAGAGGGTCACAAGACCAGTCAAGAAAAGCAAAGCAAGCTCAGGGTGGATCACAACGTCACCACAAACACTGAGCACAAGCAAAAGGCCACAAGGCCAGTTCACATGCAGCGGTATATATGCAACAAGAACAGTACAGTGATCTCTACCTAGCAAGAGCAAGAATGCCGGTGTATATATACATATAGATCACAGTACAAGCAGAGTCTACAGCAAGTGTGGAAACGTAGGCACAAGGCCCAACAAGGTACAAAAGCACTGATGATCACCCGACGGAAGTGCCTTGGTGAATATATTAGCAGTGTTGGCCCGAGTGGCCACGTGAGCAAGACGAAGCTGACCCCGCTAGTGCAACTCTCGAGCTAAGAAGTAACGCAGAGCGATGTGCTTCATTCTGTGCTCTAGTATGTGCTCCTGACACAAGGCAATGGCTGCCTTGTTGTCGACGTACAGAACTGGAGGAGAACGAGGCCTCTCTCCCAAGTCCGTCTGCAGGTAGGTGAGCCAGCTTAGAACTCAGCCATGGCTGTGGCGTAGAACTCAGCCTCACAACTGGAGCTGAGAATAGAAGACAAGCGAGTAGAACGCCAAGAAACTGAACCGGAGCCAAGGCTGAAAGTGTAACCCTGTGACGACCACTGCGTAGCCTGGTCGTCAACCCAAGAAACGTCTGAGTGCTCAGTGAGGACAACTGGACTCCGCCCTCCAAGCACGAGCCCCATGCCCAATGTAATGCACAAGTAGCACAGTACCCTCTTAGCAGCATCCATGTGCACCTTTCGGTGCCGACCAGGAGCCACGTAGCGAGCCAGAAGGCCAAGAGGGTACGCAAGGTCAGGACGAGTGCAGGTCATCAGGTACATGAGGCAGCCAACAAGCTCTGGATAAGGACCACTCAGCTCTACGGACTCGTCCGAAGGTGGAGCTGAGAGCGAATGACCTGTAGCCAGAGGAGTCCGCTGTGCCGAGGACCAGGTGAAGCCGCAGCGCTGAAGGACCTGCTGCACCATGCGTGACTAAGTCAGTATGATGGTGCGGCGTGCTCTGTCCCAGGTGATCTGCAAGCCAAGGTGACTGCGGAGCTCACCCAGGTCGGTGCACGTGTGTCTCTTCTGCAACTCCAACTTCACCAGGGCGAGAGCCTCAGTGTCAGCAGTGGCAAAAACCAAGTTGTCGACGTACACGAGGATGTAGAACGGCGGCAGCGAAGTGTCGGTGCGCAGAAACAGCGACGGGTCAGCAGTCGACGGAGCAAACCCAAGAGCCGCAAGTGTCGTCTTCAGTGTGTCGTGCCACTCACGTGGCGCCTGGCGGAGACCGTAGACCGGCCGCCGGAGACTCCACTGGGTACCAGGAGGGAACGACCCAGTGAAGCCAGGAGGGCGGCGCAGCAAGATCTCCTCGTGCAAGCTGCCCTGTAAGAAAGTTGTGCTGAAGTCAAGAGAGTCAAGCTCGTAGTCACGCTGAGCGGCAACGTGCATCAGCACCCGAAGAGTGGTCATCTTCGGGGTGGGGGAGAAGGTATGAAAGAAGTCAACTCCCTCTCGCTGACTGAAGCCTCGAGCAACGTAACGAGCCTTGAAGACAGGCGGAGAACCTGGCGGCTGTTTCACCCTGAAAATCCACATGCCGTCGACGATGTTCGCCCCAAGAGGGGGAACCTCATCGATGTACATGCCAGTGGACTTCCAGGATGCCATCTCCGCGTCCATGGCTGTCTGCCACTGAGAAGAGTACTCACCCGCGATCGACTCAGCGTAAGAGCGCAGGGTCGGGATGTCTGGTGCATCCGGGTCTCCTTCAAGGGCAAGAAGCATGGCCACGAGATGAGGCGCAGCGGCCGCAAGACACTGAAGGTCCTTGTGCCTGTCCTCAAGGACGTCCATGCTAAGAGCACACTCACCCCCGACGGACGTAGGACAGAGAGACTCAGACTCAGCAACAAGAGTAGCAGCGTAGTTTAGACGACAAGCATTAGCAAAGTCGGCAAGCTCAGCGACTAGGGCAGACGCAGCAGTGGACTCAAACGACGGGTCAGTGAGAACACTGGCTAACAGACGCGTGACAGTAGGGTGCTCAGTACGATACCGAACAGACTTTGGGCAGCAACGTCAGGGAGAGAGGACACAGGGGGAGACGGCAGAGGAACACGCTGTGGAGGAGAGGAAGGACGACGGACTACAAGGTGGGTGCCGGGGACAGCCGGGTGACATGGAGGAGAAACACGACGACCAGAATGACCAAAAGGGACGGGCGAGAAAGGACGCGACGCAGGCTCACAACGCTCTGCAAGGCCCCTTGTCTGCTCAGTGTACGGAGAAGGAGCAGGTAGCGGTGAGCCAGGCTCTAATGGAAGACCAGTAGACGAAGGGAGAATGAGAACCTGGCAAAGCGCAGAGTCAGGCGGCGGCTGAGACGACGGAGACGGCGGAGCGAAGAACAGGCGCCGCTGGGTAGTGCCACCAGCACCAGCAGCTCCAGCACCTCCAGCAGCTCCAGTACCTCCAGCAGCTCCAGCACCTCCAGCACCTCCAGAACCCTCAGCGTTCGCTCCTCCAGGACCAGCTCCACTTGCTGCAGCACCCCCAGAACTGGCACCTCCAGTCCCAGGGTCTCCAGCCGCAGTGCCTCCAGCAGGAGCACCCCCAGACCCAGGGTCGCCAGTAGTAGCACCCTCAGACAAAGCACCTCTAGCCCCAGCAGCTCCAGTACCTCGAGTACGAGCACCTCCGGAACCAGAACTCCAGCACCTCCAGTAGACAAAGGATCAGCACCACTCCCAGCTCCAATGACGTCAGCAGAAGTACCTCCAGCAGTAGAGCCCCGAGCTCCAGAAGCGCGACCCTGACGGCGACCGTACCAGTCGTGCAGCTGCTGTGAGGTGAGAGGCACACGCGGATGAAGACGGCTACTCCAATGAGACCGCGTAGCAGCAGTCTTAGAGCCCTCATGTGTCGCACCCCCATACTCAGCTTCCCCAGGCTCCTCACACGCAGGCTCAGCACCCCCAGACGCAGCACCTGCAGGCTCTTCACGCGCAGGCTCAGTACCTCCAGGCTCCGCACCCTCAGGCTCCTCACGCTCAGGCTCCTCACGCTCGGGCTCAGTGCCCCCAGACTCCGCACCCCGAGTCTCAGCACCTCCACGCTCCGCACCCCCAAGCTCCGCACCCCCAAACCCCGTACCCCCTGGGACAGTACCACCCCCAGCACGACCTGAGTCACCAATGACCTCAACAGGCGCAGGTACGGGAGGGTCTACCTGAGAGACACCGGAAGGAGCAGGACCTGGCGCGGGGAGGGGGTCTACCTGGGGAGAACCTGGGGCGAGAAAGAGCGGCGGGGGGGGGGGGGGGGGGGGGGGGGGGGGCGAGGGGCAGTGCGATAGGGAAAGAGACGGTAAAAAGGAACTAACTCGTCGAAGGCGACGTCCTGAGACGGAAAGACACAGAAGAACTGCCAGCCAGGCGCAGTTCCCTGCCAGCCTTACGTCGGAGGAGAACTCACCACCTCTGTCAGAGTGCAGACGCAGGACAGGAAAGCCCGACTGGAATCGCTTGCGGAGCTGGAGACGAACAACGCAGATCCAGGGGATCAAAACATCAGGGACATCCCCCTTGCACTTCAAGGGGAAGACCGTGGTGTAGCGTGTGTAGTCGTCGTTGACCAGCAGGAAGTACCGCTCGTGGCCTTGTCCACGGACGCGGGCTGGGCCCCACACGTCCAGATGGAGGGTCTGCAGTGGAGCCTCTGTGGGAGGGAACGAGGAGGAGTGAGGAGCGGCGCGCTGCCACCCCTTGACGCAAGGAATGCAGGGCGGCGCAGGCGAGGGAGGGAGGGCAGGCAGAGACCTGGGAAGACCAGTGACCAGGAAGCGAGAGTGCATGCTACGAAGGCGAGGCAGGGACGGGTGACCAAGGCGGTGGTGCCACAGGAGAGTGTCGTGCGACACCCGGCGACACTCACACTGGGTGGTGAGGGTGTACAGACTGGACCCGGGCGCACGGGTAAACGTGGCCAGGTGGCGGCCGGTCCGGGAGCACGTGCAGATCGCCACAAGCTGCCGGCCAGGGGTGAAGGTGTCAACCCCCGCATCCTAGAGGACAGCGTTGCTCACCAAGCTCGTAGAGAACGAGGGGAGGTGGAGACCAGACAACTCACCAGATGGGACCGCCGGACACGGAAGCAGAGTGGAAAAACGTGCAAGCACTGGGCCCCTAGAGGGGTCAGCTAGTGAGACAGGAACAGGTGCAGGGAGGGGAGTGACTGTGGTGCTGTCGCGAAAGAAACTGCGGGAAGCACCAAAGTCAAGTGTAAAGGTGTGCAAGGCCTGTGCGGACGTAGTACCAGGGGGAACAGACTCACAAGCACCTAGTGCTGCAGAGGCTATACCAGGGGCTATACCGGGGTCCGGCGACACACACAAGTAGCAGTCACCCTCAGCACTAACAGTCAATGCATACATGGCAGCAAGAATAGCCTCATAGTCAAGATCAAAGATAGGTACATCACGCCTAAGCAGGTCTGCCCAGTTGGGGAACTTAGTAGCATCAGGAAAATTGACGCGGCAAGCGACGCTAAGCCGAGCGAAGCAGCGGGACACAGTGTGAAACCCTGTGCACTGGCGACCAGCGCGAGGACCTGTGCGAATGATATAGGGGCAGCGACCAGGACCCCCAGAAGCCCCACGCCCGGCATACCAGTCATGAAGCTGCTGGCAAGTGGGGGTCTGGCGCTGACGCTGCTGCGGCTACTGCTACTGCGGCTGCTGCTCGCCCTGACCACAAATGCCACCACCGCTCCCTCCTCCCCCACTACCGCCGCTTCCACCTCCACCGCTCCCAGTGCCTCCGCCGTTCCCACCACCACCTCCACCACCTCCACTCCCACGACCACCCCCACCACCTCCACCTCCCCCACCGCCTGCACCACCGCCACCTCCACCGCCACCCCCACCTCCCCTACCACCCTTGCCGCCCCTGCCGCTGCGGCGCTTCCCACTAGGAACGGAAGCAACCCCGACCTCCTCAGCACCAAGGTAGTCGAGAGCAGCAGCTGCGGAGGCGTAGGAGGGGGTAAGAGGGGAGTGGGAGCACCCCTCCAAGAGAGGAGAGCGAGGAGTACCACGAGAAGCACCTACAGCGAGGATGTTCTTCTCTGCTACGAGAAGGTGCTTCTCGAAGTTGTCGACAATGAGAGTGGTAGGGTCTAGGGCTAGGAAGTGGTCCCTTACGGAGCTAAGAGTGTCAGGGAGGCGGGTGACGAGGAAATAAAGAGTGAAGTACATCGCGGGGGGGGGGGGGGGGGGGGGGGGGGGGGGGGGTTGCGGCGCAGAACTGAAAGGGCGGCACGAAAGCGAGTGTCAGTAGCGCGCAGGTGAGAAATGAGGTCCTCAGCAGTGGTGAACGAGGAAAGGTTGGGGAACAGGTAGGGTAGCATGAGCCGACCTAGGGCTGCAGTGGCCGGGGAGGAGTAGCATGGAACTACAGCGTCGTACAGTGTCTTAGCAGTTTTGTGCTGGCTGAAATTGGTGCGCTCAATGATCTGCAGATGGTTCCTAATAGCTAGGCGTGCAGCAGCATCGCGAGTCTGCCATTGTGAGCGTTCGAGAGCAGGAGCATCGGCAGCAGGAGCAACGGCAGTGCCAGACATGTAATCGAACAGTGAAACGCCGTCTTTGGCATTGATCAGAAGGAACAGTTGGAGATCGTCGAGCCACTCAATGAACTCGATGGGGCGACCGTCAGGCTCGAACGCGAGAACATTACGCGTCGTCATAACGGCCGCAGGCAAAGGCAGTAGGCAGCAGGCACCAGGCAGGAGGCAGGCAGTAGGCACCAGGCAGCAGGCAGCAGGCAGCAGGCAGTAGGCACCAGGCAGCAGGTCGCAGGCAAAGACATGTTATGTGATGCTATCACTTGCATTCACGTCCGTCTGCCTCCCATCACATGTTCGTGCGTTGCATGCGTGGTGTCAGCGTGTGCAAGAATTTGTATTTGATGTGGTTTGGATTTTCTGAGTGTGTGTATGTTATTTGGCTTGAGCAAATATCTGAAGTGACTCCTCTGGTCAAGAGCTTTCCGACGAACCAAGTATCGCTTCAATCGGAGCACGAACAAGAAAGTTACGAACGTTGGAAGTTCGTATGCTTTTGATATTTGGTTGTGGTGATTATAAAGGGTACAGAATTTTGGGGGTTGGGAAATTCGTCAACATCAGTGTAGATGCTGCCAAGTGGTTGGGAGGAACCAAACCAGGTTGGCAAGTGTGGCCAAGTTGGGTTGAGGTGGATTGTGGAGGTTGGGATAGTGACAAAGGTCAAAGTTGGGTTGCCTATAGAGAGGGGAATTGTGTGGCATGCGGTTTCCTTGGTTGGGGACTCTCTTGGGACCTTCCCTCTCATCCTACTCATCCCTTCCACCTGGTTTAGTGCTACTCTAACTTCCTTGTGTAGTAATTGTGAACTTGTGTGAGACTCTTGTGATTGAGTTAAGATTCTATGGCAGCATACCCCCTAGTGCGCCGAAATTGATGACTCAAGAAATACTTCACTACTTCGTATGATTCAACTTGAGAATTGTAGCCACGGAGTAGAGCTACAACATATCTAAGTTTGGTGAAGTTTTGACCGTGAAGTTTTTGTCGACAGCGTTTCTTGTGAGCGCGATGTTTCTGTCCAGAATTCTAAGCCAACGATTTTGAGAATTTTAGGCACCTAATCTTCGTAGACTCCGTCCTTGGTCTATAACAAGTGGTATTAGAGCTGATTAAGGACTTTGTGGAGAGTCTACTGAAGTGTGAAGACCCTCCTAGACCCACCATGGCCTGTGGGCGTGCCTAAGTGGAGTTCTGGGGTTGGATGTGACTTCCGCTAAGTGGAAACTCTGCCGAAATTTCGTTGCCGCCGACACACGTGAAGATTGTGTGGATCTACATTGTGACCAGCAAAGGGGGGAGCTGAAACCTCTGATTGGGAGCAGAGGAGATGGATCAAGGGAGTGGAGATGCAGCTGAGAAGAGGAGTGAACCGCCACCATCCAAGATCGAAGCTTTGGATGGCTCCAACTATGAGGAATGGAGTGGGCGGATGCGGAGCGCCTTCAAGCACTACAAGCTGCTGAAAATTGCAATAGGAGAGGAGAAGATGCCGGGGGAAGGAGATGCCCGCGATCGGTGGATTGAGAAGAGCGCGGTGGTGTATGACCTCATCCTCCAATCGGTCAACAACATGTTCCAGCACATCAAGGATTTGGTGGAGTTGGATGATTCCGGACCGAAGGCATGGAAGCTGCTACGCGACGTGATTCAGCCCAACACGCTGCCGATGGTGATTGTGTTGGAGAAGGAGTTGGCTGCCCTCTCCATGAAACCGGGAGATGATGTGAAACCGGTCCTTGACAAGATCAAGGACACCTATGCGAGGATGGCAGCGGCGGGCAGCGAAGTGTCGGAAATGCAGCAGTGCACCAAAATCATCTCGGTGCTCGACAACTCGTGGGACAACCTTATCCCCACCCTCAACGCTCAGCAGGACAAGTGGACGCCTGAGTGGCTACGGCAGCAGATCCTGCAGGAGGACTTCCGCAGGCGCCACACGGGAGGTGGTGCAGCCACCAAAACTGCTGAGGGGTATGGAGCTGCAGGAGGCAGCAGGGGGAGAGGGGGAGGGAGAGGCCGAGGCCGTGGGAGAGGCTTTGGCAGAGGGAGAGGCCGAGGTGACTACAACGAGGGGCATGAGAGCTCTGGTGGCAGGGGGAGCACCCGAATGGAGGGTGCGTGCTGGTACTGCAAGAAGGCTTGACACCCGTGGTTCAAGTGTTTCAGCCGGCCTGAAGGATGGGCACCTCCAGGCATGAAGCCGCCAAGTGGTGAACGTGCACGAGGTGGTGTTGTGCAAGGTTCAGGTGCACAAGGTGATGGTGCACAAGGTAAAGCCGACCCTGGGATGTTCCTCATGGTTGAGGATGTACAAGGGAGTGGGGGTGATGTGGGTTCAGTTGGGAAGGTTGTGATGCACCCCCTCACTCATTGGGTGATCGATTCAGGTTGCACGAGTCACATGACTCCACGGGCAGATTTGCTTGATGAGGTGAAGCCCCCTGGGAAGATAAAGCTTGTGGCTGCCGCTTCAGGTGCCTTGCTCCCTGTAATTGGTGTTGGGAATGCAAAGGTTATGGGAGCTAATGGGGGGCTTGTGGGGCTGGGAAATGTGCTGTTGGTTGAAAGTTTATCCGCTAACCTCCTCTCTGTGCGCCGGCTGCAGAAAAGCAAGGCCAAAGTCACGTTCGGCCCAACCAGCTGTCGTGCAAAGCTTGGGAAGTTGCTGCTGTGGGATTTGGAGGAGGAGAGCAGCTGCATCAAGGACATGTGGCAGCTGCCCATCATCCCTTGGAATGGGAAACCTCCAGCAACGGCAAAGGCAGCGGCAGCGGCTAAGGCAACGTAACGAGCCTTGAAGACAGGCGGAGAACCCGGCGGCCGCTTCACCCTGAAAATCCACATGCCACTGACGTAAGTGCCTGTGGACTTCCAGGATGCCATCTCTGCGTCCATGGCTGTCTGCCACTGAGCGGAGTACTCACCCGCAATCGCCTCAGCGTAAGAGCGCGGGGTCGGGATGTCTGGTGCATTCGGGTCTCCGTCAGGGGCAAGCAGCATGGACACGAGATGAGGCGCAGCGGCTGCAATACACTCAAGGTCCTCCTGCCTGTTCTCAAGGACGTCCGTGCCAAGAGCACACTCACCCCCGACGGACGGATGACAGACACACTCAGACTCAGCAACAAGACTAGCGGTGTAGTCTAGACGACAGGCAGCAGCAAAGTCAACAAGCTCAGCGATTAGGGCAGACGCAGCAGCAGACTCAAACGACGGGTCAGTGACAACAGTGGCTAGCAGACGCCTGACAGTATGGTGAGCAGCACGGGCTCGGTCAGACGCAGGCTCTAGAACGGTAGGCAGAGAAGACGTAGGAGGAGACGGCAAAGGAACACACTGTGGAGGAGAGGAAGGACGAAGGACTAAGAGGTGGGTGCCGGGGACAGCCGGCTGACGCGGACGAGGAACACTACGACCGGAATGACCAGAACGGACAGGCTCACAACGCTTAGTAAGACCCCCTGCCTGCTCAGTGTATGGAGAAGGAGCAAGCAGCGGTGAGCCAGGCTGTAACGGAAGACTAGTAGACGAAGGAAGACTAATAACCTTGCGAAGCGCAAAGTCAGGCGGTGGCTGAGACGACGGAGACGGTGGAGCAAAGAACAGGCGCGGCTGTGCAGTGCCACTAGCACCAGCAGCTCCAGTACCCCCAGCAGCTCCAAAACCCACAGCGCCAGCTCCTTCAGGACCAGGTCCACCAGCAGCAGCACCCACAGAACCGGCACCTCCTGTCCCAGGGTCTCCAGCCTCAGTGTCTCCAGCAGCAGCACCCCCAAACCCAGGGTCGCCAGCAGTAGCACCCTCAGGCTCAGCACCTCCAGCCCCAGCGGCTCTAGTACCTCTAGTACGAGAACCTCCAGGACCAGCACCACTCCCATCTCCAGTGACGTCAGCAGAAGTACCTCCAGCGGCAGAGCCCCGAGCTCCAAAAGCGCGACCCTGACGGTGACCGTACCAGTCGTGCAACTTCTGTGAGGTGAGAGGCAGACACGGACGAAGGCGGTGACAAAAGTTAGAAGAAGAAAGAGGAATGAACTAGCAGAAATGGGGATACAAATAGCAAACCCTAGAAGGGTTGTACTCGCTATAGAGCACCCCACTACAGGCTAGAACATAAGAATAATATTCTGACACACCCCCATAGCCAAAGTGGGGTGTAATCAGCAGAGCAGGCAAAGTAGTACAAGCTCAGGGTGGATCACAATGTCACCACACATTCTGAGCACAAGTTCAAGAAGAGATAGTTTAGAGTTCACAATTATGAGCAAAGCTAGTGGTAGTCACAACGGGCAAGTGAGGAGGAGGAGGGAGAGTGAGGGGAGAGGAGACAGGAGGCGACGGCTGAAGCTGCAGACACACGGGCAACAGGAGGCAGACTGGCACAACGGCTACCGGACAGCGCCCGGACTACAGGAGTAACAGGCCCCGCGGCTCAAATAGCGGCGGACAGGCAACGGACCCACGGGCGGCTGGCACAGCTGGCTACGACTGGGCTACCGGGACAGCGCCCCGGACTACAGGTGCTGCGAACGACAAACTGACAACCTCCACTCAACCTCCCGCACACAGTCCCACCCCCCTGATACACACCCACTGCTACACCGCTAGCTCTACTCCCACGCACCCCCCTTAAACCCTTAGACAGGCGGCTACTCCAAGGAGACCGCGTAATAGCAGACTCATAACCCTCAGCGCCAGCACCCACAGCAGCTCCAGAACCTCCAACGCCAGCACCCTCAGCAGCTCCAGAACCTCCAGCTCCAGCGCCACCAGCGCCAGCACCTCCAGCGGCTCCAGAACCTCCAGCTCTAGCACCCTCAGCAGCTCCAGAACCTCCAGCAGAAACAACTCCAGTAGCAGAGTCACCAGCTCCTGCGCCTCCCGCAGCAAGGCCCCTAGCTACAGCAGCACGACCCTTACGGCCAACGTACCACTCACACAGATGCTGTGGGGAGAGAGGGAGACGACGACGAGGGTGCAGCGGCGAGACACCAGCGGAGCGACTACGAAGACGGCCGCTCCAGGGAGACTGCTCACCAGACGCCTCAGCGCCCCCAGGTGCAGCACCCCCAGACTCAGTATCCCCAGACTCCTCACGCCCAGGCTCAGCACCTCCAGTC